AATACGCCAGAGAGCTTGATATCACCTTCTCTCCGTCAAAAAGTATCCTCTCCGCCTTGGATGATAAACAAATCATGTTACATCCTAAACTTTGAGAAATACGGAAAAAGTATTACCTCCCCCACAGTATTTCAACGCCTTTTCGCGGAATATACAACCCCACTGCTCCCAGACTGGAAATTCGTTTTCACAGATGGTTCAAAAACCGACATTAGCACAACATTCGCCGTCGTTGACTCCGAGGGAAGAACAATTACAGCAGGAATACTGCCCAGCTACGCCTCGGTTTTCACAGCTGAAGCTGTTGCTATCTTCTACGCAATCATCTTTGTCGAAAAATCTAGTTTTAAAGCAGTTATCTGCACTGATAGCAAGTCAACCATACACTCGTTATTCAACACAAACAACAAGTCCTACTTACTTTCCTGTATTCGGAGCAAATTAATCGATAGTAACAATCGCTTGAAACTAATGTGGGTTCCAGGACATGCAGGAATGAAAGGAAACAATCTGGCAGACGAACGGGCTAAACTCGCAGCAAAACAACCACTAATAACTTTTGACTATATTATGAAAAAAGACTTGTATAAGTGTATATCGCAGCTCGAATATAACTCACATATGGAGACTTGGAGATCTATCCAGCACCAATATACTGCGAATAACCCGAACAGGATAAAACCAAGATATCCCTCCAGCTGCCGGTGCAACGACATCAAAGCATTTATCCGATTACGCCTAGGACACACAATTGCCACACATGTGCACCTCCTAAATCGTTCTATCCACCAGTCTGCCAACACTGCCCGTCGTTAGCTTTAACAGCCTATCATTTACTCGACGACTGCCCACATTTCGCAGCAATTAGAAAAAATATCTTCGACGACCAAATACCGTCTGCTCTGTTAAAAACGAGTTCCTCCAAAAACGTAACAAAAATATCAGCATTCTTAGTACAAACAGGATTAAAACCACAAATATGATTATGTTTACACATTTCCCATTACTTATTATTTATTTTGTTCTTAAAACTTTTCTATTAGCTACAGAACATTTTATTAACTTTAGACCTAAGACTTAATTAAGCAATAACTATACATTTTATATTTACATCAGCGAGCCGAAGGTCCTGGCAGCCAGTGCTCCTTTTTTCGTGGAAAAGTAATTGTATTATAGTTTCACGTTTTTATAAATAAATAAATAAATAAATATTCCGTCCCCACAAACTAATCCCCCATGGTCACAACACACCTGTGTCAACGTTTTTTTCCAATCCTTGAAACAGTTGTTAAAGTCCATTTCCCGAATAGCATTCTTTGAGTTTGGTGAAGCGTCGTTTGCGTTTGATGAAGAGCCAGTAGTCACACGGAGTTAAATCAGGCGAATACGTTGATTGCGGCACCAAGAACAAATACAGTATGCGACGGTACATTATCGTGGTGCAGAAACTGAGAGTTGTCGGCCCATAATTCCGGCCTCTTTTTACGAATATCTTCGCGCAAACGACGCATAATGATCAAATTGTATTCCTTGTTGACAGCTTGGCCGGTCGAAAGGCATTCGGAGTATACCACACCGTGATAATTGAGGAAACTTGTCAACATAAGCTTGATTTTTGACCTGTTTGACGTGGTCTTTTAGACTCCGGCTCACCTCTGCTACGAAATTCGGCCGATTGATAGCCTCTTTCCGGGTCGTAAACATAGATCCAAGACTCATCGCCAGTAATAATACGTTTCATGACATCCTGGTAGTGACTGTTTTTGGAACCAAACATGTTTTCACTTTTCTAAGGCCAAACTGATCTTTCCAAATAGTTTTCACTGATCTTTCCGATATTCCTTCGATGCCAGAAAAATCTCCGACTGTTAATCGTTGCTCCTCAAGCACCAATTCTTTTATTTTATTAACCAGGTGATCATCTGTTGATTTTGATGGCCGTCATGGACTTGGTTCGTCGGCCTGTTAATAATTTTTACCCTATATTATGAACGTTTCCGCACCAGACATTAGATTCCGGAAACACAAAATTTAATGGAACTTCGTTTTTTGAACTAATTCAGTCAGCGTAAAAATTGTATAATGCACTTTATACGCCCAGAAAGGCGCGAATGGGTTTTCGGGCGAAATTTGAATTAAAAAGTCTTACTTTTTTTTTTTGTGTCCACAATAGTATATAATATCATAAAATACAACATAACTCCAAAAAAAATTTGAGCGGAACGCATTTCCTTATTTCCTTAATTTCAAAAGATATATCACTTTAACTTTTAATTTCGATATGATATTAACATATTAATGACTTAAGCAAACATAGGTTCATGTCAAATTGTGGTAGTTCTAACATTGAGGAGAACTTTATCCTACGCCAACTGCAAGCTGTATGCAAGAAAACGGGTTGAAATTATCTCTGCACTTCCTTCTTGATTGCTTAAGCACTTGACACTCACACTTTCAGATGTCCCTCCGAACTGTTGGCTACAGAAATTAATTGCTTGAGCAAAATTTATTGACCACAAGGCACTATACAGATTTGTAATTTCCAATTACTGGAGTTATATTCTTATGGCATCAAATAATAGTGGAAACTTTGGATTAGACATCTAACCTAAGTAGTATACTCTGCTCAGGGAATAAAATTCCATCTGATACCTAAACATTACTTTGATCAGTGTTATTCCAACTCTGCTTAAAATGAAAGAAACTATTGCTAAATTCCAAAAACTGAGGTAATCTCTTATAAAGAGTATTCTCCGAGATTTCGTGTCCCCACATCTCAAAAAAAAGAACAATTTCTTGCTGGTAGGAAACTTAGAGACTTATTTTCGAGAAAAAAAAAACTTTAGCACATTTATCGAAAACTTGAATGCCGCTATATTATTGATGAGACTTTTTAAGTCTTGGTGTTAAAAACTTTGGAGCTCTGTTGTTTTCTTAGACTCACCCACACTTAGTACTCACCCACACATGCGTTCGTGGTTGCATCTAGATTAAAACCTATTTTGCAATCACAACGGTAACCACCAATGTCATTGATGCACATCTGACTGCTATCACATGCATATTCATCTACTAAGCATTCATCGACATCGATACAGCCATTATTTTTATATTGGAAACCGGCACTGCAGATATTTTCACATTTCTCTTTGTGTGGGTCGCACTTCTTGGAATTCACGCTCAAACAGTGGAAACCGCCCATAGTGTTATGGCAATACTGACTGTTTTTACAATTGTGTAATTTATAAGCACATTCATCAACATCTAGACATTTTCCTTGGTTATAGTTAAATTTATAACCAACGTCGCAACGTATTGGATCCACTTTATTAATTTTTTCTGACCGGTTATCCCCAATTACGCCTTGTTTTGGCTGTGTTTCTCCATTTCCAACATTGTCTTCGTCAACCTCCTCTATGGCTTCCCCCACATTGATTTCATTTTTGTGTACTTTAGCTGTATCTAAAAATTTGTATATAAAATATTAGTTTTGCTTATATAAATATGGTGTGGATTTTTGAATTAATTAAGTTAATATTAAGAGGTAAGGTATTAGATAAAATCACGTAAATAATTAATTCAAATTACTAAGCTTGATATTATTGCATAAAATTAAATTAATGTATCTAGTTCATTGGAAAAGAAAAACAATTTAACCTATGTATTTAATACAAAACAACAAACACTAACTTTAGCAAGGATCAAAAAAATCTTTATTTTGATCGGTCAGTTTAAATTTCAGCTAGTTGCTACAGTTGTTGGATCTGAACAATGAATTTTGCTTTAGATAATACTATTGTTCTACAGTGAATTTGTTGCCGTAGATAAAATATCGGTTTTTAAAATATAATATATGTGTGCTCACAATTCCCGATTTCCAATTCACTATTTTCCTCTCGTTTATTTTTAAGTCTTCATTTTAAATTACAAAAATCAGAAATCTTGGAACAAATCAACATACATAAGTATAATATATAAATAATATCAGTTTAGTTCTGAAAAATTAGGTGGCATAAAGGGAAACAAAGACACAATTGTCGGAAACATATATCACATATTTATTAAACGTCTGTTATGAGTTCTTCAATTATAATTTTCCATTTTACAATATTTTGGTAAGGATCAGCAGTAATCTGCCACATTGGAACGATCCAATCATCTTTAATAACTGTCTTTCATCACTTTTAAACTCTAGTGGAGCAACTCTCTCTTTGTTTTCACAATAATTATTTAAATTATTCAAAATTGTAACCATAAAATTGCGAATGTATTCTAATGTTACACATTTTTGGTTCTTAGAATATTAAAGTTGGCAAAAAGTCCACCATTCAGCTTTTCTATAAAAAGTTCGAAGGATTCTTACAAATTCATCAGTCGACTAACGATGTCCGAATCGGTTACGTCTTCTATGTTTGGATAGTAAAACCTTTTAGAGTTCACATTCTTTTACGTTTTGGAAATTACTGTGTTTAAGATTTTTAGTTACAATGCCTAGACAGTGTGTGCGGAGAACTAACTTTTGAATTGCAAAAATGTAACTTTACTCCGTTTGTGCTAAAAGTTTACGGGGAAGTTAGTTGGGGACCAAGACAAAGCATGGTATCCTCATATCTGTTGTAAAACTTGTTAGCAGCTTGGTTAAAAGATTCAAATCGTAAAATGCCCTTTGCCGTGCCAATGGTTTGGAGAGAACCTAAAGACCATGTTACAGACTGCTATTTTTGCCTCACGAATATTGAAGGTATCGGACCGAAGCCTAAACATGTGGTTAAGTACTATAATTTACCATCAGTTTTAAGACCTTAGTTCGAAATCTAAGTTTTTCAAAATCGCAGTCCGAACTTTCAGCATTCAGACTAAAAGGTTAAAACCTTTTCCAATGGTTCATATGATACAAGATTATCACGCATATGTGTCGCAGAGAATGCTTCTTTACTTTGTATATTTTTCTTCAAAGCATTTCTCTTTATTCATTCTCGCATGAATTCAGTCGTTTTACATCTATTTCTGCCAGAGAACGTGCTCAATTCTGCTAAATAGCAGCGAGGACGGCGAATTCCTTACCCAAAATCTAACAGCTCTGTTAGCCGCCAAATCTAACATCATTCAGAATTCAATTTGCACCTTCTCTATGTTTTAAGTTCTCTGGTTAGATATTGTGTTATATATATATGTACAAGTATATATAATTGATCAATAAGATGAGACGAGTTGATATCCGGGTGACTTGCCAGTCCGTCCGTTCGTTTGTGCAAGCTGTGACTTGAGTAAAATTAAGATATCTTGATGAAGCATGACACATATGTTTTTTGGCAAAATAGTAAGAACGAGCTCGTGGATGACCGTAATCAGACCACTTCCACGCCCACAAAACGCCATTAATCAAAAACTTAACGCCCATAGCTAAGCGATAAATTAAGATAATCAACGAATCACATCAAAGATTAGCAAATTTGGATTGAAAATCTTTAAAAAGTGGGCGTGGCTCCATCAGTAATAAGTTTAATGTGTAAGTCTACGAAACTAATACAGTTAACCCCGCAATTCCCCATACAACGTTTTGGTTCAAAACTACTAAAAGTAAGCTAAATAAATAACCACATATGACGGAAACATTGGGACTTACCCCCTTGATGGCATGGGACTGCTTTATAGGACCTGTGGCAAAATAAGACTATCGGCGAGGTGCCGATCACTTTTTAATAAAATCATATGTCTGGGACCTGGGCGACAAACTTTAACCAAATTCGGTATATAAAATTTCTTTGATATTTTTTTGTTACAGTGAGAAAATGTCCCATCGGATTACAACCACGTCTTTCCTCATCCGATTCACATTTCGGGATATAAAAAAACATCAATAAATATAATAAACTTAGCACGAATCACGCATTTGAAGTGTAAAATTTGGAGAGAATATTATGTCTGATTGTCAACACACGGAAAGCAAATCGATCATACCATGTTTTCGTCTCTTCAAAGTAAGGCACTGTCAAGCAAAGAGTGGATAGTTTTGTGCAAATAAGTCACTACCTTCGCGTTACTTTTTTATAACGTCTGTGTTTAACAAAAAATATAAAATAGGCAACAAATAAACTTTACTAAAAACCTGATGTGATATGATAAAATTGGATCTGATTTTGTGATCTGCACTACTCGCTAAAAAATAATAATAAAATCTTGGACAAGGAAAACTATGTCGACCAGTAATTATGATTTTACTAGCCACTTCAATGAATAATATTCATCTGATTATTCTTTATTGCGAAATTTTCGGACCTCAGACTTTTGAGGTTCATTGCGCGTTGCGCAAAAGTTGGTATAATAACAATATATCGAAAAATATTTTAGTCACAAAAGATTCCGTTACGTGTAATGTAATACATGAACATATGTAAATTCAAAAACCACTTGTTAAAATATATTATGTTAAAACCGATTTTATAATCTGTGCTATGGGATATTTACCATTGTTTATAGGAGAACAAGTCACATTATTCTCATCCAGCTTATAGCCAGCCCTGCATTTGCAACGATACGCCTCCTTTGTGTTTTCACAAATATGCGCGCATAGATTCTTCACTTTACCGCATATATCATCTAAATGCGTTATATTTTTACAGAAAGGACAAAAATGTACATAGCAATATTAGGAACGTATTTGCATTTACTTACCGTCATCTTCCGGCAGCACGATTGTACCATCACTAGCATTTCCAATCAATTCTTCTTCAACAATGAGATCTTTCTCATCGGAGCCGTTAGAAAAATTTCTTGCTTTCGTTTCCAATTTATCGTTTTCTTCATTACTCACATAATCATCAATTATTATAGCGCCGGAATAGTTATAATTAGTTTTGTCGCCATCACAGCAAATGTGATATGTATCGAGTTTTGCAAAATATGAGAAAAGCGCATTGTTGCATTCGTTACCACTGGCCTTTACAGCTAAGCCCACCTGACAAGCGCGACAGCAATTTGCAAATGCGTTAGTATGATATTCATCATCGCAACGAGTACCCCGCAAAGCAGCTAAACGTCCTGCCACACAATACTGCTCCTCCAATTTCCGTGAACAACAAACACTATACGTCGAATGACAAAGCCCACGCCACAGGGGGGGTATCGCGTTCATTTCGTAATCGTATTGTTCGCAGTTTTTTTCATTAGCGGCATACTGAATACCACTTATGCAGCATTTTCTAATATGACTAGCGACATCATCTAGAATATGAAACATTGCATGACTCGATTTAAATTAGTATTTATACAAAATTGATCATTTAAATTAAAAGTCAAAACGAATCGCAGAGCATTTTTGTATTATAAAGATCATCACTATTGTACATATGGCATCCGAATTACTATTGGGTTTGGTTGCCATTTTCAGCGCGAAAAGCTCAAATATAACTCAGATAATAATTTGTTTTCAGTCCTATATTCCTTTCGGTATTATATACCATAGAAGTCATAAGAAATTAAAAAAAAAAATCTGTTAAGCGATAACAAGACTTTATTCTTTGTGTCCTTCAGATATACCTGAACTTCTTAACTTGTTTTAATGAGTCATCTCAATGTGAAATTTTCGAAAAGAATCGATTTTTTTTTTGTTACATTATCGGATAGTAGGAAAAAAGTTGGACCGATTTCACGTATTTCTAGTATTAACTTTATGTGTGCTGAATAAAGAAATAAATCCCCAATTTTATTACGATATTGCACACATATACCAGTATATTCGCCATAAAGTCCACTAGGATCGTCACCCACCCACAGTACGCGTAAGATAATACGTTGATCGTTCGTAAGTTAAAAAGAGGTAAAGTAACAATAGCATGATTAGAGAAGATAATGAAAACTTTTTAAAAGAGTTTCAAGTAAACTACTAATGGAGAGCTTAGGTTTGAAGAAATTGAAAGGAAATATATTTATAATAGATATATATGTATGTACATACACCCAACTCTTTTTTTACACGCGTTTGAAGTTACGCGGTTGATACTTTTTTTTAAATCTAGTATGGTTTAAAAAAAAATAGTTACAATGTTTATTTTTACCACACTTATTTTTCCCCTTATTCGATAGCTCTTACCTACACATTTTGTTCGCATGATATTTACATTACTGAAATGGATATCTCCAGTGATCAAACCGACTTTAGTCCACTTCGTCGCAAACAATGTTATCAAGTAGCGACGAATAATTATGTAGCTATATAAATAATTTTCATTCTTTCTATTCCAGTTTTTCTTTTCTTAACCCCTTGACGTATTTCCACGAGTCTGACTCGTGGTACAATTTTTGTGCCTAACATGATTATCACGAGTCTGACACGTGGTGAGTAAAGGTGTACATTTGATGAAAAGAGAATTGAAATTTCCCCGTTATTTTCTGCTAATAATATATATATATATAGAAAGCGAATTTCGTTGAGCTAATTGATACATCAAGGGGTAATTCTGGATTAACAGTTTTCTTTTGTTTTTTTTTTAATCTACCAATTTTTCACCAGTATGAAGAATGTATTTTAAGCTTTAATGCTCAATAAAATGCCATATGAACATACAATTCGTATGCATATCTGAAATTTTATAGTTTTCAATATTTTTTACACGGTTTTTCGAAGTATGCGAGTATATGGTTCTTTATTTCGTCTTACCCGGTTTTCAGATGACATGGAACGTATCCCACATTTTACTATAGCAAACGCCTTTTTTTACATGGTTTTTTTACACAGATTTCTGAGGAACGTATCTACCGTGTAAAAACAGAGTTGGGTGTATATAATATTTTTTGTGGAAGATGGGGCATATGCAATGTTATTATTGTAAAAACTTCTTAGGATTTTTGGGATTTGGACAAGCATCTTGCATGTCCAAGTTTTTTTTCGTTTGTTTGTGTTTACCACTATATGTGAATATTACCGGTGGGGTGGAGCAAAATAAACTGAAAGCAAGAAAAAACGCTAACTTCGTCTGTACAGAAGCTAAATATTAAATATAAAACCCTTCCCAAGTGCTTCTTATAGCAAAAGAAAGCTGTAAAAGATGTTTATGTTGGTTTTAATCGATCAGTTAGAATAGTAACTCTATGCTATAGGGCTACAATTTGAACAATAAGTTCAGAAGTTGTAGATTTGGATCAAACTTAACCAGGTTTCATTGAGGTATTTTCTCAAATAAACAAAATTTCCACTCAAGAAAGATATTTCCAAAACTAAGGGACTAGTACGTGTATATGCAGATAGTTCGAACTTGCTAAATTGGCTCAGTTCGTACCGCTAAAAATTTGTACATACGAGTATACTTTATAGTATTCCCTTCTAAGTATTGCAAACATCATGACAAACTTTATATATGTAATCTGTTCAGGATACAAAAAACGAAACATTACAATCTTGTAAATTTCGAGCCGTTCTTTTAATAATTAAGAGTTCTTTCCGAATGAAGTCGAAAGAGGTTATTTGCGTTTCTGCTTTCAGCTCGTAGCCCCTATGGCAAATTATATAAAAGAGAAGTGATATACGAATTCGGCTTACAAAAGGAAAGAGTTCGTAAAAGACTTGAAACGACATTCTACAGTAATTAACCCTATGTAGGGAATATTTCGCCTTCTCACTTTAGCTCGCCATCAAACGGATGTTCTTAGGCTACCCATGGTCAAAGACCGGAAGTCGTGAACTGCTTGAGTCACATCTAGAAAAAATCGTTTCTGGCCACTCGAAAGTGAATGGCGGTCAGAGATCTTTCCTCACTTGCGTAAACTACTACACATGACTTCATCCTCCGGCGTAGTTAATCTAATTAGAATCTAAACTAATAACAATAAAATGCTATATACATATAAAATAAAAAATATAAAAACTTTACTTACCAGAAGAAAACGTCGAATGCAGCAACGCCGAAAGCATAAACAGAACAATATAGTATTTTTGTAGTCGACTTCTAATTTTAAAACATAGACACTTTAATATATTTGATATTAATCTTGTGATCATTTTACGGCACTGTTTAGTTTGGTATCACAATGAATGATTTAAGTTCTACTGATTGTTATTAACACAATTTTCGATTATGAAAAATTTGTGCTCAGATTTATAAAACTAGAAATAAAATCTGTTCCAACGTATGATGCAACGCAGAATGACCTTTTTAAAACATAATATCTAAGAAATATTTTTCGAAATTTTGAAGTAAATCTGACAAATACTTTTCGTCTTATTCAATAATTAGCACAGAATTCTTGGTCGGTATGGAATATTCGAGAACAGGTAGCCAGCAGCAGCTGGGCAGTAAATTGGGATTAAAACTTCTAATATGTTTTTTTCGAAACTATATTTTTCGAATTGGTGGAAAATGTATCTCGAAAGTAACTTGATAAAACTCAATTCAATTTACACAGGATTTTGAAATCCTCACAAAAAATGAGCTGTTGGTTTTCCTCGAAATATGCAATCGTCAAGTACTAGACTATCTATTGAAAAAACTAATTTTTTGCCCGATTGATTTTAGATGAATCTCCAAAAATTAGTGATGGTCAACGTAAGGAGCTTCGGCTGAAACCAATAAATACTTCTAAAATTATGATTTCTTTTCTATTTCTGTCAAGTCAAGCCAATAACCAAAGATCAGTGGGCGAATATCGTGGCAAAGGTGAGTCGGAGCCAAAATAAACACATCAAAACAAGTCATAAATCAAGGTTACGTTGACAGTCTTCCTCGATTATCGAAGTGTGGTGCACTCCGAATTTCTTCGGTCTGGCCAAACTGTCAACTAGGAATGTTATTTCAGTGTTAAGCGTAATTTGTGCTAAGCTATTCGTAAAAAGAGGTCGGAATCATGTTCTGGTAACTTTTGGTTTTTGCATCACGGTCGCATACTGCATTGATTCTTCGTTAGTTTTTCGCGAATATTTCAACCAATAACATGCCGCAACCAACACTTTGACCTTATTTAGCTCCGCATGACTTCTGGCTATTCATCCAACTGAAACAGTCGCTCCGGTGAAAATATTTTGAGTCAGTTGAAGACATTAAGAGTGAATGGCAATAAATCAGTACAGCTAAGTAAGTCTATGGTCAATAATACAACTCAATAAAATATCTAATTTGATTCACGATTTCGTTAAATAACAACCACTAAATTCTTTCGAAACTTTCTTCAATTCTTGCAATATGTTATTTGTTGGTTGTTTGTATCATCTGAAAATAATCTACCGTCAACATATAGCATTGAAAGATGGAGCCAAGTGTAAAAGTTCACGCAATTGGGGAAAGTTCTCTGATCGCCATTCACTTGGGAGTGGCCAGAAACGATTTTTTTTACTAGGCTCAAGCAACTCACAACTTCCCGTCATAGACCGCGTATCCTCCGAGTAGCCAAAAACACCATTTTGAAGGCGAGCTAAAGTAAGAAGGCGAATCATTCCTCCCCAGGGTTGTGCGCTGGGTTTGGGACCTGCCAAGTGACAAAAGCCCCAATGAAAAAAAACGAACAACCTAGGATAAGAGGACCTCCTTTTGATGACGGCCGTGGCAAGCACATTAAGAATTACAATTAAGGACATGCACCTTTAACGTCCCGTCCCGGGAAGGTGCCGCTACCCATCATTCTCGTAAAATTAAAGGCTGACATAACCACCGTCCAAGCAGTGCGACGGACGAGACATGGACTAAAACGAGTAAGTCCTTGTTGCATTTACTATTGTGGCCATATAACGGAGCGCAAATTCGGTGTTTCACTCGCCATATACTGACATTCACAACGTCTGGCCACAATGCGCATCAAAGCGAAGTTCTTCAACATACCGCTGATTTGGGTCTACGCCTCAATGGAAGAGAAGGACGAAGTGACAGAAGATGCCTTCTTTGAGCGCACCTGTGAGAGCAACCCCCGCCACGAAGTCAAAATAGTGCTTGGGGACCTTAACGCCAGGGTGGACAAAGGCTCAACGGTCGGTAAATTTAGTTCCGAACATTGACTCGGACCACACGCCTCTGTGCAGCAAAACTCTCACGTCCACAAACATAGCTTATCAGTCTATCTTCAGACCGGGAAAATCAACAACTGACTATTTGACATACTTACCATACGCCAAATCTTGGAAAAGACCCGTGAAAAGAGGATCGACACAAACCGTATTTTGATTTCAAAGCGGCTTTTGACAGCACGAAAAGGAGCTCCCTTTATGACGCAAAACTTATTCGGCTGTGTCAGGATCAGAAACTACCAAGCGGAGTTTTAGAAAAGGCGACTCCCTATCATGCGACTTCTTCAATCTACTGCTGGAGAAATTAGAGCAGCAGAGCTGAATCGAGAAAGCATATTCTTTTATAACAGTGTACAGTTACTGGCGTATGCCGCGATGATATTGATATCATTGGCCTCAACAACTAAGCTGTTAGTAAGGACTAACAGACTAAACAAGGAAGCATAGATGAAAGATTTTCTGCCACCAAACAAACAGTCGACGCACTCATGTCTTGGCTTCCACAATCTGTTGACAATCACAACTTCAAAGTCGAAGATAATTTGGAATCAGTATTAACACCCATAATAATGTCAGCCCCGAAATCCACGGACTGAGTAGGCAATTGAGAAGTAAAGTCCTCTTTCCACGAACAAAGGCCAAACTGTATAAGTCACTCATTATTCGCGTCCTGCTATATGGTGCAAAATCTTGGACGATGACCACATCTAATAATATCGAAATATCGCATTCGATGGAACGATGAGTTACACGACGACATTGAAATAGTTAAGCGATTAAGAGACAGCGACTACGCTGTCTAGGTCATGTCGTTCATATGGATGAAAACACTACAGAGAGCACTTCTACGTTGTTGGAGAGACCAGGTGGAGACGGACTTGGTTGCACTTGATATTTTTAATTTGGCGCCAAATTACGAAAATAAGAAACAACGGACGCGCTGCTGTTAACTTGACTAAAACGCATAACGTTTTCTATGGCAGTTAAGAAGAAGAAAAGGATAGACAGCCCATTCTCCTACATCGTCTCACACTAACTCTGAACAGATCAGACGCGAAGGCAGCAGAAAAATTCAGCATCAAACATTTTTCTTAGAAATAAATAGATAGCAACGCAGGTAGCAGAGTTTAACAGGATGGCACAACAAGGCAAAAATACTACCCAAATGTCACCACTCCCACACATTCGTCGGGTAATGCCACAGCAAAGAATTTTGCCCATAACTTCACTCGAAATACATCAGCCCGAATTTCATGTGAACGCAGATATTTAACCCTCATAGCCCACAGAAATATGACAGAAACAATCATTGAGTCATATGTTTTTATGGGGCTGTTGTTCTAGTTCGCAGATACCAGTGTGACTCACGATGCAAGGAAGTAAAACCTGATCATGCCACAAGTTCCTCTCAGCAACCTAATAGAGTAAAGGGCAGTCATCAATTCCGCTCATATTTGCTGAAAGCCAGCAACGTCGCCTGCAGCGTGTGCTTTCGGAGATGCTCTTGGGTGACCTAAACTCAAACCAACTTTTCAACGAAATGCGATGGGTGGTTGGCACCGAGCTCATCGATCTGTGGGTGATCGCATCAAAAGGTAAAGTAGCAGATAAAATCGCCATGACAAGCGCCATTACCGATCCGTTGCTTAAGTCAAATTAGCATAGGCAATCATCCACCACAACAACCAACAGGAAATCCGAATGAAAATCGCTCAGCTAACGCAGTATATGGAATTTATAAAATCGTACCTTGCAAGAAGCTGTAGTTAAAGCCGACAGAGACCACAACCATATACGCACTATTATTCCTCGCACAATAACGACTAATCTCACGTTCTCTCAGTTCGGCGACAACGATCGAAAATGTAGAAAACCCTACTCAGTAAAAATTATTCGAATTTTTGTAATTAGCATAAAACACTACCGATAAATTACAACTATGTTGTACTATGTTACCGACCATTAACACGTACTAAATTAACGACATGCAACCCTTTATTACGTTTTTTAAATCTTTGTGACAAGCAACCATTCTCGCAATACTTCTTTTTTCTCACGAACTCCGAACCGATTAGACGTACTGACATCATCAACTATCGGCACCATTTTGGATGTATGTACTATGTATAAGTATACTTTTTGTTTTGAAATAAATTGTATTTATACATATATAAATGATCAGGATGATGAGACTAGTTGAAATACGAGTGACTGTCAGCTTGTCCGTCAGTCTGTCTGTGCATGTGATAACTTGAGTTAAAATTGAGATATCTTAATTAAGATTGTTACACTTGTTCCTTGACCATCCGTTGTGTTTGGCAGCAATTTATACCTTGTCTATTTTTATACCTTTGGAATATATTGCATATTGCTACAGAGTATAATAATTTTGTTCACCTAACGGTTGTCGGTATCGAGATAGATGTGTAGTTATACATACTCGTACTATAAAAATGTTCGGATCACGATACGAGTTGAATTCCGAGTTACTGTCGATCTCTTCAAGTGCAGTTTCAAATTCCATCTGATTTTTGCTCTCTCCGGTATATAAATCAAGAGCCAATCAATGTATTCGGATAAAAATTTGCACGATTAGTGCCTTGTGTGCCACCTTATGACTAAAAGTTGTTCAAATCGGACCACAACTATTCAAGCCCCCAGATGCCGCAAAAATGGGGACCCCAGTTCCTATCGCGAAATTCTTATTGTGGGATTTCCTTTTACCCCCACATACGTAATATAAAGATTTTCTAACTTTATGTATTCGCAAATAAGTAAATTATCTTAACAAAATTGAGAGGAAGTGTTTTTATAATAATGGTGCATAAAATGAGTGAAATCAGGTGAAATCTTGTCCCAGACACCATATAACTTATATCTGGATTTTAAAATTTCTAGTTGATTTTAGACCTTGTACCATATATTGGTGAGGTACCTTAATGAAACTGTAAAAAAATATGCTGCCAATACTTCCCCTACTTCCACATATCTAATATCAAATTTTCAATCTTCCGGTTGTTATGCCGTGTATATTGGCCGAGATATCACAGCAAAATTAACGGGGCATCTCGACAGGATAAAATTTATGTCATACTAACAGTCAAATGTATTGCTATTGCCATTGCCAAATCTCTATATGTCCATTTGCTATCATGATATAATCATTTGCGCAAAGGCATAGGGTAGGTAGGTTCGAGCTGATGTAGCGCATGCTTTGAGCTCTTGAGAAATTTATTTTATCACATTGCGAAATGCTATCGGTGAGGTAGCTGATGTTGCGCATGTTTTGAGCTCTTGAACTGTTTAAATCTTTTATGAGGAAAATAAAAAAAGGATTACGATCCTTTTTTTGACAAATGTATTTCTGGGAAAAATAAGAATTCATATTTTTGGACTACTATATAATAATTGTGGCATACATTTTATATACCAATTAAAATAATAATTTTAATATGAGCAATGGTATTTTGATTTTTGCTTGTATAAGTTTATTAAAGTTAAGACTTCGCTCATTCCCAACCCAATTCGCATAATTTTTCTGTAAATTAACAATATTGAACTCAATATTATTTTTTTGGAAAAAAGTTATTTTGAAAATTTATTTTATTTTTATAATATAACACAACCGTTTTAATGCTCGCTCTTCTAAATTTCATATTACTGAAATGAAAATGCCGTCGGCATATGTGCAAATGGAATATGTTGCTTCTTCGAAATTTTCATAGAAATGAAAACTGCGCTGCCAAACTGCTGAAATGACAGCTTATTGCTTAAAATATATGGCAAACTAATTAGTATTCCATATATAATATTATAAAAAATATGGAATCCCCACAGACAATAGGCACGGCAATACAGTTAGTAAGACATAGATTTTATCCTGTCGAGATGCCCGTTCACAAGAAAAGTAGTAATTAATTTGTTAAAAAAAACTCAATTAAAAAGCTGTAACCTAACAAAATTTCTCAGCAAAATGTTACATTGAACGCAATACTTTTCACATAATTCACTTTGAGCAAGAATCGCGCAGAATTTTCACATATGTATAACATATATTCCGTTTTGATAGAAAATAACTAGCATACTTGCACAAAAAACGTACTTACTACAATACCTTTAAAATAAAATTAGGATGTATGTCTAATAAATATCAGCTGAGAAAGGCATGATTTCATATTGTGATAAACTTGCATTATGTTAGATACCTGATCATTGGGATTGACTTTGAATGACTATGTAGGTGAAATAGATCAGATTTTAAATACAAATCGGTCATTAAAATATAGATGTATGAAGTAGTACACTTAACGCTTTCCTAAGATAAAAATTGTAGTGTTTGGTGGGGTTGCATATTTCAAATGATCTACGAGCATTTCTCATAATGTTTGCACAAGCATAAGAGTTTAGAACACTGTATATATTTTTTTCCAAAGTTTCTATGAGACATCAGATTTTGTTCTTAATTTTTTATTTTAATTTTTTTTTTGACTCTCTTATTATTAATAACAATAACACATTTTTTTATCCGTTGGTATTTAAATTCATACGTTCATATGACTACGTCATGTGCAACGCCTACACGTATTGACGTAGATATATATGCAACTATCTTCGTATCTTTTTCAGTTTTAATGATAAATTGTCGAAATTTCATCAGTTTTGGAATTCGTACTGACACTTTGCTGTTGATACCGTTACACATACCGATTGACTGATTAACTACATAATTAATCTGTGTGATACACACCACACCAATACAGCTGAGTACATTCGTTGCTTACGCTCGTTGGCGGTTTGGTTAACTAACTGACTGAATGTGATATGCTTGTCTTATTGTGTTTTTCGTTAAAATAATATTGTTTCTTATTGGTCATTTGACTTCGAGTTTTCTGTAGCTGTCTGCAACATTTCTGATACATGTATATGGCTTGGTTTTCATTACTACAAGAGATTTACACAAATGATGTTTACTTGGTTTAGCTTGGGCTTAAATTTGTTATAGTTCAGTGTTCAACATAATAAATAAAAAATGAATCATAAACATTCATTCACATGCACTTAGTGCTTACATGTGTACGCTCTGACATTTGTTCATGAAAACATGAGAATGCTTAACTGCTATCATTCAAATATGTGCAGATAAATACATACCCTGCAGGAAACCGAAATGTTCAGACATATTTTAACGTCTTGAAAATATTACTTATGTAGTATGTATTTGCTTACTTTACTTAAAGACTTGACAGGCGGCAGCTTTAATTCGGATTAACTGCGCACTTAATCAGGTCAAAATTTGTAATTGACAGACGGCAGCTAGTTTGAAACTCTCGTAAACAGCTGATTGTAATTTTTATAATATTTTCAATGGAAACGGATAGAAGATAAACATTGCGGTTCGTAACCCACCAATATGGGTAAGGCCAGATCGAAATACGATTTTTTTGCACTGTTCAGGATCACTAATAAAATAATAGTATAAAACAGTGAAAATTTAAGAAAACGCGCAATTTAAATATGCTTGTGGCATAATTTGCGATGTGACATTGTTTTATTATACATAAAGCACACTCTTTCATTAATGCATACCATTAATGACGATTTTCAGTTCGCAGGACCAAAGTAATTCATCTCCCTGTAGGGTATATACAAATGTACTAGCGAGTTGTCACATCAACTGAAAGTAAACTGCTCAGATAAGAGCAGAGTAAATATTGGATATAAATACACGAACAAGAATAGGCACTTAAGTATCCAAACTAACATACCCAATTACCATTTACGTTGGTTTTCAATTTTTTCGGAATTAACATAAGATATTTAAAACTCAGGAGGATTATGTCACCCAAATAACGGATAAGTAAAATTGACCTGCAAGTGAGCTTGAAGCTTTTCTACATTTGTTGACCACATTGGAATTTATCTTTGGCGACAGAAAGGCCAGCAATCCTGCCAGACTACCGGTAAAATTTGTATTATCCTTTCGTAGGTATCTAGTAAAACTCCACAGGACCTTGGAAGATATTGGCTAAGTTTGGTACACGGATGGAGAAGAGAGCATTACTTTCCAGCGAATTGAAGAAATATGCCTAACCAACACTTGTTGTGCAACCCTGCGCTAACATCTCTTCTGCCGTATGCGTTCATTCATTCATTTCATTTATTCCATCCATTTTTTCGATAAAATGACGTTGCTGCAACCCTTTTTTATTTTCTATCTATTACTAAAAAATATTTGATTTTAAGTTTGAAGTTTGAAAACCACAAGAAATAAATTTTTTCATCTGCCATTGGAACCATTCACAATAAAAAAAGCTGATATACAGAAAAAAAAACAGAACAAATGGTTTTTTCGGCAAAATCCATTTGAATCGCCTTTACGTCTGCGTAACGTTTTCCTTTCATGAGCCATATCAGGTGAATATGGGCAGTGGTTAATATTAAAATGTGATTTTTGGTCAAATAATCACAAGCGTCGATCGATGAGACGGGGCATTATCGAGCAACAAACGCCAAATTTCATCTTCGCGATATTCGGGCCGAACACGTTAAATACGGCAACCAACGCTTCAAAACTCCAACGTAGAATACCGCATTAACGTTTAAGCCGGGTGGAACAAATTCTTCGTATACAATATCCTTGGAATCATAAAAACAAATCGGCATTGTCTTCACTTTTGACTTCTCCATGCTCGATTTTTTGGGTTTCGGCTGGTTTGGTGCCTTCCATTTAGCACTCTGGCGTTTCCTTCGGGATCATATTGGAAACACAACGTTTCGTCACCAGTCACAATATTGTAAAGGAAGTTTTTGTCCTTTTTGACCTCTTTAATGATGTCCTTCGAATGTTGGATTCTGAGCAATTTTTGGTCGTCAGTCAATTTGTGAGGAACAAACCGTGCACACACCTGTCGTAAACACAAATGTTCGGTCAAAATGCGATAAATCGATGTTTTGGAGACGTTCAATTCCATTGCCATGAATTTCAATGATTATTTCGGGTATTTTTTGATGAATTCACGCACAGTTTCGATGGAATTTCCGGTGATCACGAACTTTGATTGGCCCACATGTTGATCGTCATTTATGTCCTCTCGACTGCTACGGGATAAGCAATCATCGCCATAAACTTGTAAAAGTTTTACCAATTTAATGTTGGTTTTTGTTCATTTTTGCACCGATAACAGAAAAATTACTGACACTTAAAACGCAATCGATTCACTTCCTAAAATATGGTCATTGATTTTAAAAGACTTCTGAAATGAAAAGAAATTGGGTGGAACTATTACAGTATTGGAACCTTTCTTTTTGAATACGCCGGCGACATGGAGATTTGCTGACTATCACGAAAACTGTTTTCCAAAACTGGTCATAAAATTGTAAATGTAAGTATGAGTGCAGCCTCATCGTATCGCTCCCTCTTCAACTCCCGGTATCAATCCCATCCCGCACGTGTTGTGGTCCATAGTAACGTTTCGTTGCACTCCTCGTGGTATCAGCTGTTCTTTTGCATTTTCCGAAATGCCGTCCCACAGTTCCCTTATATCGAGATGGTGACGACTGCTCTCAGAGAATAGGAGTACTAATGAAGTAGAAAATCGTTCGGCTATCTGCTGTGATTGCAGCTTATCGACGTCGAACCTTTCCTTGCCCATCCTGGCGTTAAAGTCGCTAAGCACGCTTTTGACATCATGACTCCCGTAGGTGCGCTCTACGCGCTAATAGATGGCATCTTTGGTCACATCGTCCTTCTCTTCCATCGGGCTGTGTACGCAAATCAAATTTAGATTTGATCCGGAGTGTGGTCAGACGTTCATCTAATGGGAAAAATTTCAGTACTCCATCGCCTAGTCTCCTACCACGAATCCCACACCAAATTTGCGCTCCTTTATATGGCCACTGTAGTAAATTCCACAAGGACCTACTCGTCTCAGTCGTTGACCCGTCCATCGTATTTTTTACCCAGTCAGTATTTATTTTTACGAGAACATCAAACAGCTCAATTAAGGGACCGGAAAGCCAGGCGAGCGATTTTAAATCGTTATCCTTAGTACGTTTGCCATGGTCGTCATCAAAAGGGGGATCTCTCATCCAAGGCAGTTTTTCACTGTTCATTGGGAGCGTATTTTACGTAGCGGGTACCAAGCCCAGCGCACAATCCTGTATAGGGGATGATTCGCCTTCTTACTTTAGCTCGCCTTCAAAACGGTGTTTTTGGCTACCCAGAGAATACTTGGTCTAGGACGGGAAGTACTTAGCTGCTTGAGCCGTAAAAAAATCGTTTCTAGCCACTGCTCAGTGAATGGCAGTCAGAGAACTCACTTACGTGAACTTTTACACATGACTTCATCCTTAACGTCAACGTTTCGTCATGAATGAACATTAACGAATTTTTAATTCTGACGCATTGTTATTTAACATAAATGTTTGGAAACACCTGAAAAATTATGATAGTGTTTGGTTACATGCGAGCGTAGCTCGATTTTCGGAATAGCCTTTAACCTTTTCAACCATCTTCTCTTTATTTTTGGAAAAGTCACGAAAAAGTCATGTGTGAGTAAAACATAGTCTTAAAGTCTTCACAAAAATGTTTACTTAAAACACACCGATATTAATTTGCAATCACGCACGAAAGTATCATTGCATCAGTGTGCCGAGATCCGATTTAGCTATATCCGTATGTATCCGACTTGTTCTGCAGCTTTTAAAATATCGATAAGAAATTTTGTGCAAGTTCTTTTCTCCCAATAAACTGCTCATACGTCTGAATCGCAATTATCAGATTAAGATAGAATATATATAGCTGCCCTACAGAATAATTTTGGACCTCTATAACATGTATGTAGCTGTCATACAGACTGAACGATCAAAATCAGGTTCTTGTATGGACAAATTTTTCTCTTTTTACTTTAATTTAACGATGATGTCAATATGGATAACAATTTTGGAATTATTTTAAGTTCAGGTTGTGGCTTGCCTATCGTTTATTTTTACAACCTGCAAGTGATACAATTTTCGACAACTTTCTTTTTTCGACCCACTTGTTTTCATATATATTACCAAGTTCATGAATATAATTGAGAATAGATGATTTAAAAGCTCTTAGAAAAAAATAAGAAATCGACTGAGTCATACGCTTTCACTCTCTGTAATGGACATATAAAGTCAAATTAAGCAATTATATTAGGCGGATACAAGGTGAATTCCACAGTAAACAGGACTTTTTCAATGTAGCGTCCCCCGGGGGCGCCATCTACATGTCGACTAGTGCGTTATCGTTTGGCCAATTTCCTGAGATTTCATAGATTGGAATTGAAGTTAATGCGTTTTAAGTGTCAGTAATTTTTCTGTTATCGGTGGGAAAATGAAGTAAAAGCCAACATTAAATTTTGTTTTAAAATTGGTAAAACTTTTACAAGTTTATGGCGATGATTACTTATCCCGTAGCAATCGTGAGGACATAAATGACGACCAACATGTAGGCCAATCAAAATTCGTGATCACCGGAAATTCCATCGAAACTGTGCGTTATTCATCAAACATCACCCGAAATCATCATTGAAATTCATGGAAATGTAATTGAACTTCTCCAAAACATCGATTTATCGCATTTTGACCGAACATTTGTGAATACGAAAGATGTGTGCATGGTTTGTTCTGTACAAATTGACTGACGACCAAAAATTACTCAGAATCCAACATTCGAAGGACATCATTGTGATCGATTATTTGACCAAAAATCACATTTTAACCATTAACCGCTCCCCGTATTCACTTCATATGGCGCCGTGCGACCTCTTCCTTTTCGGAAAAATGCATTTGACAATGAAAGGAAAGCGTTATGCAGACGTAGAGGCCATTCAAAAGGCTTGCACCGGCATACC